AGAGCGGGGAGGAGGCCGGGAACAGCGAGGAGGAGGAGGAGGAGGAAGTACTGGGGCTGCAACTGCCCGAGGAGGACAGCGAGGAGGAGGAGGAGGATGGACACGGTGAGGAGGAGGAGGAGGAGGAGGTACAGGGACTGGATCTTTATGTGGACCACAGCGCAGAAGAGGATGAAGAAGGTGAGGAGGAGGAGGATGGGGAAGGCAAAGAGGAGGACATAGATGAATTTGAAGATGAAGATGGGGACCTGTCCATGGAAAGCGACTTGGAGGAGCGCCTTCAGGACACCAAGCTCCCACACGAGCTCTCCTGGGGCCAACGCAAGCAGCTCTACTACGACACGGACTACGGGAGCGATGCCCAGGCCAAGGGCAAGCGTAGCCAGCAAGAAGTCGATGCTGAGGAGGAAGAAGAGGAGCAGGAGGCTCAAGTCATCCAGAGGCGGTTGGTGCAAAACTTGGGAGAAGATGATTACGGGCTGGATGTGATCCAGGGCTATCTGGCTGAGCGGCAGAAAACCCACGATAGCAAGGGGCAGAAGATTGACAAGGATTTGCAGGCCCTTTCCAAGAAGGAGAAGCTGAAGCTACTGAAGCAGGAGTCCCCTGAGCTCTTGCAGCTGATTGAGGACTTTGAAGTCAAGCTAATGGAGCTCAAGGACGAACTGCACCCGCTGCTGCAAATGGTCAAAAATGGCACTATCCCGCAAGGGAAAGGCAGTCGCTATTTGCAGACCAAGTATCATCTCTACTTGAATTACTGTGCCAATATCAGTTTCTATCTGGTTTTGAAGTCCAAGAGGATGCCGGTTCATAGTCACCCCATTATCGAACGGCTGGTTGCTTATAGAAATATAATCAATGACCTAGCTGTTATAGATCAAAAGTTATCCTCACAAGTTCGCATGCTTTTGAAAAGCTACTATGATAAGAAGGAAGATAAATTACGGAAGGAGAAGAAGTTTGCGGTGTTTCTCCCACTGGATGTTAAGAAAAACAAATCAAAAAGCGCTCCTGCACTTGCTAGTGGCCGGGCTACTGCTGATGAACCATCAGATGAGTCGGACCTGGATGAAGAGGCTGCCCTAAAATACTATAAGATGATGGAGGAGAAGTTGAAACTCAAGAGGAAGAGAACTGAAGACCAAGACACGCTTGAAGAAGACGTGGAGTTAGAAGGAGAGGATCCAAACAAAAAGAGAGGTGTGACCTATCAGATGATCAAGAACAAAGGCCTCACGCCCAGAAGGAAGAAGATCGATCGCAACCCCCGGGTCAAGCATCGGGAGAAGTTTCGGCGAGCCAAGATTCGCCGCAAGGGCCAGGTCCGTGAAGTTCGGAGGGAGTTGCACAGATATGCCGGGGAACCGTCTGGCATTCGCGCAGGAGTTAAGAAAAGCAGGAAGCTTCGGTGATACTGATTTTTGTCTGTTTCTGAGAGCTGCGAGTAGCACTACTGAATCCAATAAAAATTTTATAAAAGATGCTGTGTTTTTTATCTTTAAGAACACTGGGTGGGGGAGAGGGGGAGGGAGGTGGTATTTGGGGTTTTTTTTTTCAGAAGGTGCGACGTCTAAAAGTAGCACGGGGCCTTTTCCTCACCTGGCCTGCGTGTTAAGGTGTTTTCCTCTACTGCAATGCTGTCGTCTTTCCACACTGTAAATACTGGTTTTGAGAGGCTGCAAGGGATGTGTCAAGCAACGGGAATGAAATAGCCCATGCGGGATGGGACGGGACGGGACGGGACAGGACGGGGGGACCTCCTGAGGGCGGATTGAGAATGGAATTATGCAGCTGTCGCTGTGTTCTCCTTTTTCCTGTCTTGTTCTAGTCCATCCTTTTTCTGTGTTGAGCTGCAGAATGAGATATGTGTGGTTATGGTATTTTCTCTATTTCTTGTTCTGATTAAGTCCTTGAGCTCATACATTACATTAGCTACTTTAAGGCTCGTTTAAATCTTCTCAATTTTCTGACGGAGCAGAAAGCTATTACTTAAATCCCATGTGGCCTGAGATACTGTTTCCCCTCCTGAATTCGGAGAGAAGCAAAGCAAGACTTTTCTGGATTTCATAGTTATTTATGTCTGTGATAAAAATGTTCACTTCATCTATGATAAATATGTTAACAGTTGTCTGCTGTTATAGGTCTAATGTAGCATTGATACAGGACAAACAGGTAACACGTAATGTTGTCTTCAATTTAAACCCACATTGAAGTTCTTGCTGGGAGTGACCAGTTCCAGTTCAGGCTGTAAAGGAGCAATGACTGATTAATTTTTCTTAAAAGTTTAACAAAGTGTCTCAGGTAAGACCTGCACTTGTGTCTGGGACAGGTTTCGGGGAGCCCATGCCTTGATTTGTGTACCAGTAGCATCTGAAAGGTACTACTGTCTGTTTCCTGTGTGAAATCAGTTAAGGGGAATAATTGTCTTGTCAATAAATGCTACTTCATGTTACGGAAGCGCTAGTGTATCTAGGTGGTTTGTTTTGGGGTTGTTTTGTTTTGTTTTGTTTTTTGTGTGTGATAGTCTTAGGGGAAGCCAAAATACGAGCGTGTGTTCTTGAACCTGTGACAGGCTAGGTGCTATAATTCAAACATGCAGGCGCTCTGCTTGTTTTCTGCAAGTGAAACGTTCTTCCGTAGGTTTTGATGTAAACCTTGACACCCTAGGCCTGTTTCTGCCAGGCACATGCTCTTCATAGCTGACTGGAGAATATTTTGTTGATTTTGAAAGCTGACTGTTAAAGGGAGAGGCAGAGAAACAATAAACTCAAGCTGGACACATGGGAACAGAAGTAAGGAGACTTTTTGTAGTCCTTATATGTCCCGGATCCATGGGATGCGGAGCTATGCGTGGCGATTTCAGGCGGGATTCTGGAATGGTAGATAGATGTATAGGACAAAATAGTGAAATTTAATGGCCCTGCATTTGTTTGCCCCCTGCTGCTGACAGGCCAAACAGCAGTTAAATGCTGCATAATAATAATAATAAAAAAAAAATTGCTCCACGGAAACAGGCTATGAAGCATTGGCAATTGATCCCCTCTACGAAATTGCTTGCGAGATCTTTGCCTGCCTGCAGAGCTGTGGCATTTTGCACAGCAAGGGATAATGGAAACTACAGTAAGGGCTGGAGGAGTGTTGATGGCAGCAGAGAAGGAAAACTTGGTGTTTCAGGTCAGTGCTGGGACTTGCTGCCTGTGCTGGTAGCAGATGTCTGTATGGGAACGGGAAAGGTCGCAGGTAAGAGCAGGAGTAAGGATTAATTCATCACATATTGACGTGGCTGGGGGTGAGCCTATATATGCTTTTCATGTGGCAAAATCCTTGCAAAGGAGAGGAACGATGTTAAGATCAAAAGAACCTCCTGGGACATGGAAATTAATGCAGTCCTTCGCACATAATGGAGGCCACCACTGATAATGCTGAGCTACGCTCCTGAGGCTTTGCGAAGAGGTCAGTAAAAGGTAACGTGCTGGGAAAAAAAGCAGCTTAGGTGCTTTTTCTGGGAAGGAATGGTGTTGCATAACAGACATCACATGGGATGCAGAAAATATCCAGCAGAGATGCTAACTGATCTCATTACTACAGCACTTGCTCGCACGTGTTTCGCACTCCGTGCAAAAAGGAAGGGCTGACGATCTTCCATAGATCTGCAGGCAAGCTGTAAGGATCCAAGGCGGCTTTGTGTTCCCTTGAAAAGCTTTAGGAAGCTGGCAACCGAAATTCTGGCAACTTCCATCTGAGCAATAAATAACAAGAGTGCAGTGTTATAGATGCGCTCCCCAGAAACGGTGGGATGAAGGCTGAAGGCAAGAGGGAACGCAGCGTATCAGCACGCCCAGCGCAGGCAGCCAGCAGATGGCACAGCACGTCTCCCCGGACCGCTGCGCCGACCCGTTTTAATGAAGATTAAACACGGCATTATGTTCAGTTGGTTAGTTCAGAGATTGGACAAAGCCATACGTAGTTCTTTACCGTATGGTTTTATGTATGAGTGATCATGGGAAGGCCGTGATTATTAATGCCATGGGAGGGGGGACATTGTAATGTTGCTCTAAGAAATACTTCTTAGAGGGATATTCCGTGCTGAAGGGAAATCCCTGATGGTAAATAGGTTTTGAAGATCCCTATGAAAATGGACGTGTGTGAAACAGTGGAAGGATGACCACAGATGACGGTCAGGAAAATAAGTGAGAAGTGGAGCAAGGTCACAGTTAACACTGGTTTTTTTTCCTTCTTCCAGTAGTGTTTCTGGAGAAGGCACTGACACTGCCAAGCGACGTGCTTCAGCCATGGGATGGCATTCGTCCTCGCCAGGCTCCTGCTTAGCAAGCGCGGGCTGCCCTGCTCAGAAAGGACTGGTGGTGGGGTCTGCCTCAGCAGCACGTAATGCAGGTTAGCACTTACACGCTCGGGCAACAGCTATGCCTCACCTGATGTGTCCTTTCCCTCTGCTTGCCTGGAGCACGGTAATTCAAGAGATAGTCAGTCCCGTGTGCACTTGCACGTAAATGATTTGTATTTAAAAAGCACATAGGCAGTGTGTAGAAAGCTCTAAGGAGAGGAATGAGCTGCTCTGTTGTCTTTCTACACCTGGAAAACATAATCCTTGGTGGGTGATAAGCATCCAGATAAGCCTGGCTTGCCTTTGGAAGCTTGGGCAGAAAAAGTACAGCGGCAGAGAGGTGGACAATGCTTTCTGCATCACGACCTGAAATTTCTATTTATATGGGGTAAGGAAAATATATTGAGTAACTCACATGGAAATACATCTGCTGCTGCCTTCAATTTTGTCAAGGCTTTCCTAGTTTTCTTCCAGAATATACTATCAGCAGCAGTCTGGACGCTGTTTTACTCTCGCTAGCGCTGGCAAATAGAAATTCAAACATTCGGCTTTGAGATTTGTAAAATGGATTAAAGCATCTGTTAAATTTTTTGCAACATGTTGCGTGACTTGGGGCAGCACTGGAAAAAGCAGTCTCCAGAAATCAGTTGCCTTTACAGCTTTGCTTTTGCAATTTTTATGTGAGATGTAAAAAGAAAGAAGCAACATCTTTCAGCTTAGCTTAAGTGCACTGGATGCAGGATATTCTTGAAAAACTGGGAGATTTATACTTTTTCTCTCTGCCTGTTGACAATGCTACAGTCCACATTAATTGCCCTGCCTTAATGAGAAGTCTTTATTACTGTCTTCAGAAAGACAATCTCCTATGTGAAATTCCCATTGGTATTGCCTACTTGGTAGTTTTAATAGTAAGGAATATATTTGGACTTTGTATTGTCACCTCTTTTCAAAGGATCTGAAAAGGCCGCTGTCCATGAGATCCCACCCTCGGGAAAGCGAGGGGGAGGCAGATGGTGTAATGGCTTCGCTTCATGGGTAAGTTAAAGCACGTGGGAGTCCGACTTCCTCGTTGCTGTTTGAAGGTGGTTTCTTAAGACTAAAATCCGTGTTTTCCCATGCGGGCTCTGGTCCCAGGAGGTGACTCCACATGCACGGGGCTGCTGCCTTCTTCCTTGGTGTAGAAATAGACAATGAAATACGTGCGATGGGACAGCGTCTTACTTTGAACTGCTGCCCCACAGCCAGCAGCCCTGGTGGTGTTGGTAGCAGGGTGGGGAAGCCTAGGCTGGAAGCCTAGGTGGGCTTGTCTTCAGTACGTTTTTTCTTAAAGTGTGAGAAAGAAGCATTGGCAGCAATGAAAAAGAAAGTGTTAAGGGTATGAGGCTGGGAAAAAACCCAAACCTCTCGGAGGGGAGGTGGAAGCAAGGTTCTCTCCGTATCGCCCGGAGCCCCGGCACCGACAAGAGTCTGGTGATCCATTTTTTGTCAGGCTTTCGTGATCCATCCTTCAGGCAACCTGCGCAGGGGCGCGGTGGCCTAC